AGGATTCCTGTTCACTGCTGGTCTGGACAACCTAGGAGGAAAGGATTCCTGTTCACTGCTGCTCTGGACAACCTAGGAGGAAAGGATTCCTGTTCGCTGCTGGTCTGGACAACCTAGGAGGAAAAGATTCCTGTTCACTGCTAGTCTGGACAACCTTCATAGGATTTTCATACTGCTTCCTTCCTTTGCATCCCATTGTTATCTCACCACTGCAGGACACAGGAATGATATTTAATGTGGGTTAAATGAATGAACTGGTATGTTTAATGTGAACGGGATTAACCCTACTAGGCTGCTACTCTTTCAGCCAGCCCTGTTCTATTTGCAGCCTTATTTTTCAGCAATAAGAAGTGAAAACTTGTATTCCTGTATATTAAGACTAGCTGTTTCCGTTGTATTTCCATGAGGTTATGGCCTGTGTGGAGAGAGTTGTTTTTATTTTCTTTTATAGATGACAGCGTCTCTAAACATGGAGTTACAGACTGCATTTCATGCACTGGTTCACCCATTTATTCCTTCGCCCGCGGAAAGCCTGTTGGGTTCCCAAGTAGCTTAGTGGCTGCCGATGAGACACGTACATAAATCACAGTAATGGAAGTGGTTAGAAAGTAACACGTTATTTAAGAAAGTTACATCTACAAGGCTAGGGAGCCTCAGTTCTGGGAGAGATGACCGGATGACCGCTGGCTGATGAATCTGAAGAAGGCTGAGGGCCAGGAGGAAGTGGCGCTGGCATTTGCCTTTGATAGCTGACTCTTGGGAGACATAGGTGGTATGGGTGGGAAAGAGAGTGTCCAGGGTCCTGAATGATGGTTGGGAACCGGGGTTATCATACAATCCTAAACGTATGGCAATAGCTGCTCCATGATATTTTTTCAGAAACGTATTGGATGTGTTAGAAATGTTTTGTTTGACTGCTGGAAATACTACCAATGTATGACACTGTATTAATAGCTCAGCCACTACTCTATTGCGAAGCATTATCCCTGTGTCACATTTAGTTGAAATCAAGTTCACAGTGAAACATTGTTAAAATGCAATGCACTAAAAGAAAGATGCAGTTTCCTTCAGCTGTGGGAAATGACCAAAGACCTCTAAATGTCAAGACATCTTGTTTTCTAAAGCTGTGGACACAAACATACTCCTATGGTTTATGCAAACACAGAGGAATCACGCTATTTAAACTCCCTGATCAAAAGAGCATTTTTTTCTGAACAATAATGATGTCTACTCTCAATCAAAACCCTTCCAAAAGATCTCTACTGTTTGAGCCAGTGATTCTACTTTATTTCCCAATCAAATCTGTTTCACTAGTGAAATCTATGGGCTAGCTTGATAGAATGGCTACAATTAAATCATCTTTCCACAGAATTCAACAGGTTATTCCTTTTAATTGTAGGAACATTAGATCCCTGCTGTGGTTTGCATTTAATAAATACTAATTTAATATTATAGGGGTGGCGGAATGGTGACACCCCAAATTGTTTCTCTTACTTTTTCGTAATGAAATGTGTTTGCAACGTTAGATTTAGATATGGATTAGATTTAGATATGGATAAATTTATATTTAGATATGATAAATTGTATCTTTGTCAAAAGGCTCCAGCATAAAAAGAAATTGGGAGATAGAGGGAGGGTCCAATGTGCACTTTGAATATAACTCGAGTCAAATTTCAGCAATCTTGGCAATGTCTTTCATATAATAGTTCCTGAAATATTTACTTCTGAGAACCTTCTAAAATAAATTTCCTTCTTCTGTCCACATGTTCTGAATGATTGTGTCAATCTAGTAAAACCATTTTACCAAGTCATAATCCATGTTTCCATTTAAGACCTAAGGAAGCCTTGTCTCCATTGGAGCTTCTAGTTAATTTGACAGTGTTCCCATACTGCATTATTAGGATTTTCATTGAGAGCAAGATCAATAAATAAATAACAACGACAAAAATCCCATCCCCTTTACGTTAGCCTGTGACCACTTACAGCTGTTAAATGTTAAACTCCCATCAGGGCTGTTGAATGTTGAAAATGTCCACATTGCTACTTTGGGATGCGGGAATAGGAACCCCTGCTTTAATCTAACAGAGGATTTATAATTTCCTTACAACCCTCAACTATCTCTAGGAAACTCAGGTTATGGCTCTCAGTTTGTGTAACTGCACCATCGGCAGGGATGGGGTCCATTTAGATCAGTTAGGTGGGTGAGTCTTGAGAAGACTCTTTATTCTGCACTCTTACCTGTGTCAGGGCATCGTTGAATAGGAGATCAGGACAATTGTCCTACCAATTGCAGTTTTCTTATCAAAGGAGCAGGGGTCACCAGCTTCCCTTGATGACTAAGTCAGGGTTTTAAGCCCTGGGGCTATCTTTGCAGAGATGGTGGGGAGGAATTTATGGAAGCTCCCTCTCAACTTGATTGCCAGCTCCTCCTCCTCTGACCTACCTCTCAAAGTTGGAGACCTCCAGGGCTCTGTCCTGGGCCCCTCCCTTCTTTATCTACACACTCACCTTTGTGATCTCATCCAAACCCATGACCTCAACTAGCATTTGAGTGCTGGTAACGCCCATGCCCAGCCCTGACCCTTCCTTGGAACCCCAAACTCCTC